CCAGATGGACACAGGTTGACTGATGTCTTCTTGAGAATCTTCAGGATTTTTTTGAAAATCGTTCACCTTATCTCCTGCTTCTTCTTCTTTTTCTTCGTTCACGAATGTTGATAATTTTTTCATTATATCTGTTGTACTAATGTCATCTTCATTTTCCTCGTTTTCGGAGTCTGCCAAAATCTATGGAACGTTTTCGCAGGAGTCTCCATTGCAAAATGAACAGATAATAAAGCACTTTAGGCCTGCTTTTCTGCAGCCACATGCTGAACCACATCCTTTTTTGCACATACATGAAATAAATTTCAATATAGTGCCTCCGGAGCAGGATCTTTTGTGGTTGTGACTGGAGTAAGTCCGAGTTTGCTTTTCTTCCATCCCCATTCCTCTGGATTCTTTGAATTGCCATACCATGCTTACACTTAATGGTATGCCTGCAACGAGTGTTGTCATGTAGCTTCTCTTGTAGGTGGTAAGATAGAAAGATTAAATTTACTTTTTGTAATGAATTTGTGAAATGTTGATAGCGAAGAGAATCCAGCGTAGCATTTTCTTTGGAAACGCCGTAAAGTGTAATTAAGAAATTTTCTCCTGAGGTAGTAATGACTTCGGGATCTGCATTTGGCTCTTTAAATATTTGTAGAGTTTGGTTCAAGTCTTTGCTCGTTTTCTGGAGTAGCCATGATCGAACGTGTGATGCGAATGAAAACTACAGACACACTAAATGTGCATTTTAGGCTGTGATGCCAGAACAAGGTCCCGGCCAGCACGCACACAATCAGAGAACCCCGTACATGTATTGCGCAGAGCGCTTTGCGCAGTACATGTACGGTGTTCTCTAATTATGTGCGTGCGGGTCGGGACCTCGTTCTGGCATCACAGATTCCAGGCTACATTCATTCAAACCATGATCCTAGATCCAGGTAGTAGATGTTTCAAAGCGATGGAGAGGAGACGGCAGATCCTTCATATACCTGAATGTTGCCTTGAATAGAATGGAATTCTAAAGAATATTTTACCTGGCTTAAGCTTGCCGATATTTATTAAGTTTCAGAGAAAATCCTATAATTAAAATTGGTTGTATGTTCTTATTGTACCTCGAAATTTCAATACGATTTTTCAAGGTGGTGTAGAAACAAGTAATATATAAACATTACTTACTTATTAATAATTTTATATACATATGTATGTATGTGTGTATATATATATATATAATATAATATGGACTTCCGTTTTCGGTACGTAGAACGTGACACGTGTGTGTGTGGAAGGAGTTGTTTGACGGTAGTTGAGAGGAGAATTAGAAGAGTGACGGGAGAGAAGTGCTGAGTGAGAGGGAGTGGTGGTGAAAGAGAGAGTGAAGGAGTGAAGGGAGAACTGGGTGTGGGAAGGGAAGGGAATAAAAGGGCATTTACGAGCCGGCCGTTGGGTGCGAGTGGGCACGGAGTAGAGAGTAGGTAGAGTGGTAGTCTACCACTGGTAGACACGACGGGGCGCTAGGGAAGCAGCGCGGGCTAGGGAAAGGTGAGGCGGAACGCTAGTGAGCGACAAAGCACGAAGCAAAGAGAGTAGATAAAGGGGAAACAAGGATAGTCAAATAGAGACGAGAAGGAGGAGATAAGTAGCGAAAAGGAAAGGAGTATAAAACAAGAAGTTGAAAAGGGAAACAAGGATAGAGAAGTAGGGGAGAATGGATAAAGGAGGTATAAAGCATTCAAAAGAGAGAAAAGGAAGCGTAGGAGATATATCAGAATTTTTGAAAAAGAATAGGGAGAGAGAAGATAATAAGAACGAAGAGGATTCTATGTTTAGATCAAGTAAAATAATAGTAAGATCACCAAAGTCAATGGGGAAGAGAAAGGAGGAAGATAGAGAGGGATGGAAGAGGGAATTGAGGGAGGAATTAAGAAAGGATATAATAACAAGGATGAAATCGCTAGGAGAAGAGATAAGAGAGGATTTAAGAGAGATCAAAGATGGTTTAGCAGGACAAGGAGAAGGGATAAAAAAGGAACTGGAAAAGATAAGGGAGGAATTTGGAGAGAGGGAGAGGGAATGGGAGGAAGAAAGAAGGGAGATGAGAGGAAGCATAGAAAATCTGGAAAGGAAATTAGAAAAGTTGATTAAGGAAGGGAAAGGAAGAGTAGGAAAGGGGAGCAAGGAGGGAATCGGGGTAGCAGGGGGAGACGAATTAGAAACAAAAATAAAGGTAATAGAAAGAAAACTAGAACGGAAGGAACGAAAGGATAGAAGGAGAAATATAGTAATTAGGGGAGTAGGAATGGAAAAAAGAGATGTAAGAGGAGGAGTAGAAAAGATCTTGGAAAAATTAGGAGTAGATATAAAAATAGAGAGTGTTAAAAGAGTTAGGATAATGACGGAAGGAAAGAGAGGAATGGCGGTGGTGACGTTAGGGAGCATTGAACAGAAAAGACAAGTTATGGAGAATAAGAAAATGTTGAGGGGAAGAGATGAAAGGATAGATGATGATTTAACATGGGAGGAAAGAAAGGTTAGATGGAGGCTCAGGGAGATAGCTAGTAAAGAGGAAGGAGAAGGCAGAAGGGTACAGATAGGTAATGGGGGATTGCAAATAGATGGCAAATGGTGGAAATGGAATGAGGAAGAGGAAGTGTTGAAAAGTGAAAGAAGGGAAGTGAAGGGGGAGGGAGTAGGACATAGGAGAGAGAGACAGGGGGAATAAAGGGGAGGGAAGATGAAGGGGAGCTATTGATAGGGACAGGGGAGAAGGAGGGGAGGACAAACAAGAGAGTAATAAGAGAGGAGAGGGAGAGGAGAGGGAGAACAGAGAGACGTGAGAGGGGTGGTAAGGAGGAAGAGATATGGAAGATAACTTTCTGGAATATAGCAGGTTTGAAAAACAAAGATAAGGGTTTTTGGGATAGGATTGGAGAGTGGGAGGTTATAGTACTCATGGAGACATGGGTAGATGAGAAAGGATGGAGGGGATTAAAAAGCAGGTTACCAAAGGGTTTTAAATGGGGGGGGGGTACAATACGCGAGCCGAAAGAATAAAAAAGGAAGAGCAATGGGAGGAATGATAATGGGGATAAGAAGAAAAAGGGAAATGGAGATAGGAGAAATCGAAATGATGGAGGAAGGGATGATGACGGGGACATTGAAAAGCGGGGGGAGGAGTGGAGAATAGTGGGAATATATGTGAACGAGGACTTAGAGAGGAAGATAGAGGGGTTAAAGAAGTGGATGGAAGAGAGCGAGGAGAAAGGAAGAAGAGTAGTAATAGGAGATAACTTTAATGCCAGAACAGGAGAAATGGGAGGAAGAGTAAATATGGGGGAGGAGGAAGAGATTCGAAAGAATAGGAACTCCAAAGATAAGAAGAGTAATAGGGATTAGGGAGAAACTCCAAAGATAAGAAGATTAATAGGGAATAGGAGATTGTTAGAGGTGCTAGAGGAAACTGGATGGAGTATAATAAATGGGAATATAAGAGAAGATGAAAAAGGAGAATACACGTATACCGGGGGGAGGGGAAACACGGTAATAGATTATGTATTAGGAAATGAAAGAACATGGGAAAAAATAAAAAGATTAGAGATAGGAGAGGACATAGACTCGGATCATCACCCGGTGATTTGCTGGATAAAAGGGGAAGACAGTTGGAAGAAGAAAAAGAAAGCGAGACAGAAAGGCAGGAAAGGGGTATGGAACGAGGAGGGGAGAGAGAAATTTAGGAGGAAAATAGGAGAAATAAATACAGGGGGGAAGAAGGAGGGATGGAAGAAGAGATAGAGAAAATGAATGAAAGAATAAAGAAGGCCTTGGAAGAGAGCGAGAGGGGGGAAGGAAAGGAAGAGAAAAGAAAGGGGGGGTGGTGGGATAAGGAGTGTATAGAGAAAAAGAAGGAGGTAAGGCTTAAGTTAAGGAAATGGAGGAGAGGAGAAGAAGAGAGAGGAAGGTATAGAGAGGAAAAGAGAGAATACATGGAGATGTGTGAAATGAAAAAGAAAGAGGAGAAAGATTAATAAGGGAAGCAGGAGAGGCGAGAACGCAAAGTAAAGTATGTGAGATAGTTAATAGGGAGAGGAGGAAAAGGAAAGAAGTAGAGGAAGGGATACAGATGAAGGAATGGAAGGAGTATTTTATGGGGCTATTAGGAGGAGTAGAGGAAAGAGTTCGGTGAGGAAGAGGGGGAAGGAATAGAAGAGAGATGGAGAGGGAAATAGAATGGGAAGAAATAATAGGAGATTGTTAGAGGTGCTAGAGGAAACTGGATGGAGTATAATAAATGGGAATATAAGAGAAGATGAAAAAGGAGAATACACGTATACCGGGGGGAGGGGAAACACGGTAATAGATTATGTATTAGGAAATGAAAGAACATGGGAAAAAATAAAAAGATTAGAGATAGGAGAGGACATAGACTCGGATCATCACCCGGTGATTTGCTGGATAAAAGGGGAAGACAGCTGGAAGAAGAAAAGGAAAGTGAGACAGAAAGGCAGGAGAGGGGTATGGAATGAGGAGGGGAGAGAGAAATTTAGGAGGAAAATAGGAGAAATAAATACAGGGGGGAAGAAGGAGGGATGGAAGAAGAGATAGAGAAAATGAATGAAAGAATAAAGAAGGCCTTGGAAGAGAGCGAGAGGGGGGAAGGAAAGGAAGAGAAAAGAAAGGGGGGTTGGTGGGATAAGAAGTGTATAGAGAAAAAGAAGGAAGTAAGGCTTAAGTTGAGGAAATGGAGGAGAGGAGAAGAACAAAGAGGAAGGTATAGAGAGGAAAAGAGAGAATACAAGATGTGTGAAAGGAAAAAGAAAGAGGAGGGAGAAAGATTAATAAGGGAAGCAGGAGAGGCGAGAACGGAAAGTAAAGTGTGGGAGATAGTTAATAGGGAGAGGAAAAAAAGGAAAGGAGTAGAGGAAGGGATACAGATGAAAGAATAGAAGGAGTATTTTATGGGGCTATTAGGAGGACTGGAGGAAAGAGTTCGGAGAGGAAGAGGGAAAAGGAATAGAAGAGAGATGGAGAGGGAAATAGAATGGGAAGAAATTAATAAGATTATGAGCAATTTAAGGTTAAACAAGGCTATGGGGTTAGATGATATACCAAATGAAGTATGGAGATACGGAGGAGAAGATACAAGAAAATGGGTATGGGAAACGTGTAATAAGGTATGGAGAGGAGAGGGATAGCCAGAAGGATGGAAGGAAGGGATAATAGCACCGATTGTGAAAAAAGGAGAAGGAGATAAAGTCACGGATTATAGAGGAATTACACTTATGTCAACGTTGTATAAGATATACACGTCGATTTTGGCAGAAAGGCTAAGAGAGGAAGTAGAAGAGAAAGGTATAATACCAGAGAATCAGACAGGATTTAGAAAGGGAAGAGGGGTGATGGACAATATATATGTACTGAATTATTTGGCGCAAAGACAGATTAGCAGGGAGAAAAAGAAATTAATAAGCGTGTTTATAGATTTGAAAACGGCTTTTGACTCGGTAGACAGGGAGGTGCTGGTAAGAGCTTTACGGGAAAGAGGGGTTAGAGAGGGACTGATAGAAAGGATAGAAGAGGTGATAGGAGAGACAAAGAGTAGAGTGAGGATAGGAGAAGAGATAAGTGAAGAATTCTAGACGGGTAGAGGAGTGAGACAGGGATGTCCGTTAAGTCTGATATTATTTAATATAGTGATAGCAGATATGGAGGAGGAAATTGCCAGGGGAAAATGGAGTGGAGTTAAGTTGGGGGAGAGGAAGATGTTCTCCATGGCATACGCAGATGATATCGTGCTGTTAGCGGAAGAGAAAGATGAGATGAGGGCAATGTTAGCAAGGACTGAAAGATACATGGACAATAAGAGACTGGAGGTGAACGTACTGAAAACAAAGATAATGGTATTTAGAAAGGGAGGGGCAGGAATACCGGAAAAAATTCGAACGGATCAAGGCACAAATTTTCTAAGCGAAATATTTAAAAACACAAGTAAATTATTAAAAATAAATAAAATACAGACAACCGCCTATCATCTGAAAAGTAATGGCGCGTTAGAACGATCGCATCGAACATTAGCTGAATATTTAAGACATTACATAAACGAAGACCAGACAGACTGGGACGAATGGATACCGTTTGCAATGTTCACATATAACACAACGCCACACACAGCTACGGGAGATACACCCTTTGAATTAGTCTACGGACACCAAGCGGATCTACCTACGTCACTGACGAGACCGCCTAAACCGATGTTACGTCTCGACGATGCTCTTTTCTTACTATACCTCAGTTAGACGACTTACTATGGCTTGAACTTGCTCGTCAGTATATAAAGGTTTCATTATCCGAAAATTAATTGAACATCTTGCATGCTGATTAATTATGAATCTAAATATCTAGCGTATTCATCTATTTTTAAGTGTTCTTCAGGCAATTGGTCTTTTAACTGAGAAATCAGGTCTGCGGGAGTTGTTTGATTTTCGTCGCGACAACTTTTTTTAGAATGATTTATATTTTGATACAATTCGTTTAGTAATATGAATTCCGGTATATAAGCAAAAAAACCGGTGGGATCGCTTATGCAAAGAGCGTTAGTAATTGAATTGCTTTCAAGAGTTTCCGTTAATGTTTTTCTTTGAGAATCTTCTTGACTGTCTTTTTGAGTTTTATAAGAATATTTTAACCGATTTATAGTATCTGGAGACAAAGAGACCTTTTCACAAGATATTACTCGAGATTTATTTCTACTATGTAATCGGTTAAGTTAAGAAGGGGAATATTAATAGTGGCAAAAGAGGATAATAATGGAGTTGAGCGCGTTGATTGAGGGATTTTATCGATTACGGATAAAAGTCCTTTATTAACATCTACAATACTAGATCCTGTACGTTTCATACGATTCTGAATTTTAATTCAAAAAGAAGGTCTAAGGTGTAAAAAAGGGGTCGGTCGAGGACATACTTCGATGCTCGATAGACATGAATGTCTAGGGCACGGTATGTGCTCAGTAGACGAAGGATGTCTAGGGCACGGTATGTGCTCAGTAGACGAAGGATGTCTAGGGCACGGTATGTGCTGAGTAGACGAAGGATGTCTAGGGCACGGTATGTGCTCGGTAGATGAAAGATGTCTAGGGCACGGTATGTGTTTGGTAGACGAAGGATGTCTAGGGCACGGTATGTGCTCGGTAGATGAAAGATGTCTAGGGCACGGTATGTGTTTGGTAGACGAAGGATGTCTAGGGCACGGTATGTGCTCGGTAGATGAAAGATGTCTAGGGCACGGTATGTGTTTGGTAGACGAAGGATGTCTAGGGCACGGTATGTGCTCAGTAGACGAAGGATATTCCGGAAAAGGGGTAAAGTGTCGCCGGAGAGGGATGAACTCACAGCAACTGGGGTCGAAAGGTTGGACTACAGCTGTACAAACTCTAAACAATATTTAAATTCGTCTAGTATTGATAATAATAATAATAGGAATAATAGAAATGTTTCAAGTGATTGCAGGAGGATAAATTGTGGATTATTAAAGTTGACTGACTAGGAAACTGTCAGCAACGTGCAAATGCTTGACAGGGGTTTCTTTTATTATTAAAAGTGATGGAATAGGAACTGAGGTAATGGTTTGGGACAAATGGCTATCAGTCAATTGTTGAAATAAACTTGAGAATATAAGGGGTGATAGTAATTGCGGGTACTTATTGCGTTGTAGCAAGTAATCTTTCTTTTAGCTCAATGTACTTTATACTTGCTTAAAGCCTTTCCTTTCTCATATACATACTTCGGTCGTGGGTGAGATAGGCTAGGTTGACGTAGACAGGTGTATGTTCAAAATCTTTATTCTTGACTTATACAGATTGAGCTTATAAATCTATCTGACTGACTGATTGAAAATGAAAGACACGCGGTTGCGTCTGAGAGACTGAGACTAAGAGAGTACTGACAGAGTTCTGACTGAGAGACTAAAAGAATACTGATTGACTAACTGACTGAAGAGTGATTGGAGAGTGCCTGTGACTGCCTGAAGACTGCTTTGACGGGTGAAAATCTACATCTTATATACTATTGAGAAGCAAGAGCGTTGCGAGCCGTGTGCAGATCATTCTGAGAATTTAGTTTACGTTCTGAAAATTCATTAAGGTAATGGTTTTCTATGGAAATCTATGACGAATATATTTCTAAGTATTGCCTCTCGATTAGCGGTAAATCCTTATCGATTGCTTATGTTTTGGCGTCTACGTCGCGGATCTATTGGAGCCGCCATGGATCTGCACACCTGCTTATTGCTCGCTGTCTCGGATAGTTTTACAATATTAAAGCTATAGTATAATACGAGAAGCTATAGTATAATATGGAAAAACTATAGTATAATACGGAAAACTATAGTATAATATAGAAAACTATAAGATAATATGAAAAAGCTATTGTTCGAAATCGAATTAAAAGCGATGGAAGACGAGGCGCCTTAAACGAGATTTAATTTAAAGCGATAGATTATAAAAGAGGCGCGGCCGGCTTTTGACAAAAAGTGATCGACGCGTGCGCGTAGTTCTTCTCGCGCTGCTCGGCTAAGTTCCGTCGCGACAGTGAATCCAGTGCGCTTTCGCGGCCCGCGATCCACCGATTCTCTGTGCGGTCTTATCATTCGACAGTGCGGTCTCCTCGTACGAGATTATCCCTCCGTTGCTTGCGGAAATATTAGATATAATTTCATTAAATTGTATATGGTCAAGACGCTCGTCTTTCCGACGGTTCACGTCATCCTTATTCATCAAGATCAAATATCGCGGCGCTCCTCACTCTCGCGTCCACCTCTCTCTCTCGCTAACATTTGCTGATCCTTCGAGCCGGATTCTCTGTGTCCGATGCCGGTACGTGAAGTTAGTGAAGTGCCAGTGGTGAGTTCTTTTGTGCTTCTCCGAAGAACTTGCATCTAAAACCTCAAGATGAGTAAGGACATGGAAGCTGCTATCAGCATGCAGTTCGACCTCTACGGGCGCATCGCTCGCTCGTACGAGAACTTGAAAAAGGTAGGCTCTGCTCACTATACTATCGGCTTAGTGGAAGCGCGTCTACAAGCCCTCGAATCCAACTGGGAAAAATTCGACATCCAACACGACAACCTCCTCGCCGCATACAGGGACGCCCTGGCAGGACATGACTACCTGAAGAAGGACATGCAGTCCCTTACGGAGGAAGCTTACATCGCACAGAAGAGTATGTTCCTTGACATACTCCGCTTCCTGAAGAATAAGGTCAGCGCGGAAGCGCCTGCCGTCGGCGCGAATCCCTTGCCGACATCGCGCACGACTTTGCCGCGGATCCAGTTGCCACAATTCTCGGGTCGGTACGAAGAGTGGCCTTTCTTCCGGGATCTCTTCAACTCACTCATCGTGAAAGATGCCTCCACAGCTCAAGTCGATGAAGCGCGTCTACAAGCCCTCGAATCCAACTGGGAATAATTCGACATTCAACACGACAAACTCCTCGCCGCATACAGGGACGCCCTGGCAGGACATGACTACCTAAAGAAGGACATGCAGTCCCTTACGGAGGAAGCTTACATCGCACAGAAGAGTATGTTCCTTGACATACTCCGCTTCCTGAAGAATAAGGTCAGCGCGGAAGCGCCTGCCGTCGGCGCGAATCCCTTGCCGACATCGCGCACGACTTTGCCGCGGATCCAGCTGCCACAATTCTCGGGTCGGTACGAAGAGTGGCCTTCCTTCCGGGATCTCTTCAACTCACTCATCGTGAAAGATGCCTCCACAGCTCAAGTCGAGAAGCTTCACTACTTGAAGACGTGCTTGAAAGGTGAGGCGGAACTATTAATCCGCAGTTTGCCGACGACAGCCGAGAATTTCGATCGCGCGTGGAAAATCCTGACAGGATATTACGAGAATAAACGTCTTCTAGTTCGTTCTTACATTTCGCGATTTTCGGCTCTTCAGAAACTCAAAAGTGAATCCGCTACCAAATTGAGAAAATTATATCACGGTCTAATGAGCACCGTCGGCGCTCTCGAAAGCATCGGACGGCCGATAACGCGCTGCGAGGATCTCTTCGTTCATCTCGTCGTTGATCTCCTTGATTCCCGGTCGCGTCGCGAGTGGGAAAGTTCTATCAGTGATGCGACGGAACCTCCGTCGTATACCGCGTTGCAACAGTTCATAGACCGTCGGCTTCATACGCTCGAATCCTTGCAGTCTAGTCAACCGGAGACTAGCCCTGCGAAAT